GTTCCTTCCGCTCTCTTTTCGGCCGCTGCCTCTATACCTGCTCTCCTCGCCGAATACGATAACTCGTCGAACTCGAGGGCGAGCGAGTGAACGAGTGTCCCACCGAATTAGATCGACTCTCACAGCCGCGTCCTTCCCGAGAGACAACGAGACGCGCACGCAGACGGCGATAACTCTCGCGTCGTGTCTGCCGCGGCGCGCGAGCTGCTCCTTTTTTCTCCTGGCGAGCGCGCCCGGAACACGCGCGCTGGCCGATTTAAACTGATTTTGCCGCGACTACACGTGGCGCGGGACGAAGACGAGTTCTCGGCTACGAAAGCGGGTTCAACGAGGTCGTCGTGTGTCGTGGAACAACAAGCGCGTGATGTCATTTTTAAGGAGGAGGTATTGGTAGTGGACAATTTAGGACACTTTTGCGCCTATTGCTTCATTCAGTCGTACACAGGGTGACGACGTGGCCGCTCTGTCGTGTTTACGTCAGCCGCGCGCACACGTCGAGCTTGGACGACGGGACGACTTGACGACGACGGGAGTGGTCTTAAGAAGATCAACCTCGCGCGGGATTATAGCGGAGTTAGTCACCCGGCGACTTTTCCCCTCGGTTTTCGAGGTATCGGCCAGTTTTCCTGGCTGGCTTCGCGGAAGCCGGCCGTAGGCTTGGCAAGATGAGAAAATTACGAAACCAGATGTTTGATCTCCTCGTCCCCGTGCGCGCGTGCAATTACGTTCGATGGCGCGAGCGCGTCGTAACCGAAAGCGGAAGGGAACGTATTGGGTATTAAACTTAATTTTTAAGGGTTTACAAGAGTTTGCGCAATGAGCACCTAATGGCATCGGCCTCTATACTGAAGCCAACTTCATATGAAAGCCCTGTCATTAGGCTTTAAGAATCACTATATTTCATTTGGTCCAAGTGTAAATAAGATATTTTTTTAGCGCATTCAGTATGTCGATTTTTGTGACAACGAAACGCAATTTGCGGGAAGCGTTACTTTTTTGTTTCCATTTGAAAAAATCGGCAGCTGAAAGTCCTCGTTTGCTGTCCGAAGCTTATGGGGATTATGCTCCATCGATGCTCAACTTGTGAGTACTGGTTTAGACGATTCAAAAGTGGAGATTTTCTACTTATCCATCGTTCGAAGGTGATGCTCTGTATTTGGTGGGATCAGAAGGTCGTGGTCTATTATGAGCTGCTAAAACCTGGCGAAACCATTACTGGGGACCGTTATCGACAACAAATAGTACAGCTGAACCGAAAATTGAAAGAAAAATGACCAGAATATACGACCAAAAGACACGACAAAGTGATTTTCCAGCATGACAACACTCCGCGCCACATCGGTCGCTAAATCGGTGAAGGAAACGCTAGAGCTTCTCGGATGAAATGTTCTACCCCACTCGCCGTATTCACCAGACATTACTCCTTCTGATTTCCACTTGTTTCGATCCATGCAGAATCACCTTTCTGCCCAGCACTTCAGTTCTTTAGAAGATATCAAAAAATGGCTCGATTCACGGATAACCACAAAAGACGAGAGTCGTTCTTCCGCCGCGAGGAATCTGCCTTTTACTAGAAAGATGGGAAAAAGTTGTAGCTAACGATGGACAATACTTTGATTAATAACATGTACTTATCACTTTGTTTCGAAATAAACGTTCATTTTCACTAAAAAATCCTTTAAAATTAAGTTTAACCCATTTCTTCCCAATGTTGCGTATACGCAACACGAAGTTTAACTTCACAAAATGCAGTCAAAATGAACTTATTACACAAAACTCATCATGCATGTGTTAAAAGGCATTCACAAGCTCTCTGTCTATGTGTTTATATTTCACAATTAGCCTAACACTTCGTGAAAAAAAAAAAATAAATTACTGAAAACATGTTTCTTTCAATATTTTTCAATAATTTATTTCAAGTGTTAAAATATATTTCAGTTCAACTTTTATCTGCGTATTCCTGAATTGACTGAATGTTGTACACTTTGAGCAAATAAAAGCATGTAATCGAAATAATAAAAGGATTTTATTTTTTTACTAGAAAACTCCCAACGTCGCGCCAGCGCGACATTATGTGTGGTGCAAATGATAACACATACTGCTAGTTTTTAATATTTATAATGTTATTTCAATTATTTTAAAGTGAAATTCATGACAAATATTTCATGACCATATTTTCTCACAATTTTTGTTTTTGGAAAGAAATGGATTAATACGAGCTGTTGTCACTCGCACGATTGCCGTCTTCAAGCCGCAAACCGAGCGACATTCCAGCACGTGAATCGCTTACCGACTTTCGTGGCACTCGTCGTACGACCTCGGCGACGGATTAAACGACTCGGATCGACATACGTACAATGCGCTGCGCCGCGTGCGTCTCTCTAATTCGCGCCCGCGCGGGAAAAGACAGGATCTTTTCCGTGATCTAGAAGCGTTTCCGAAAGAAACGTCCCGTTCTCTAGGAGCAGAACGATTCCTGCAGGAGGCACTCCGGCCACAGTCGACACAGTGTCCTCGGCTGTCCCGATCGAGTTTAAACCGCAGCCGAATACTCAGACGAATGTTTTCGCGCGGTGTCCATTTCGCTGCGCGACCTGCGATCCACTCTTCCGTGCATGACGCTCGGTAATGATCAATCAGGTCGCAGACTCGGGCTGGATTTATTTTCAGAACACCTTGTTATTATTATTCTGCCTGTCCGGACACGTATCTGCGGACGAGCAGGTCGAAGTGTCGAGACGAGCTGTCCGACAGTTGGACGCGAGCGTTCGACAATTAGACGGGTTTCCTTATCACGGGATCTCCGTTTATCCGAAGCAAGGCGGAGGGAGAGGAAAAAAAGCGCCGTACTCGATGCGTATCTTCGCATCGTTCTTCGCGACGGGGCGGCCCTAATGTAAAAGTCGGTAATCGCATTTCCAGCGAACTACGCGTGCTGAAATGCCATTACGAGGACGATGCGCGCACCTTGGCGGGCCGCCGCGCGTCGAGAGACGCGCGCACCGTCGCTTTATATATCGCAATGCACACGCTCGCGATGCGTAGGCGCGCACGACTCAGGCTTCCAGGAATCAACGGTTGAGTCTGAAGAGAAGGGAATATAAAACCAGCCGCGATAACCTCCTGCGTACACTCTCTGAAACATGGTGGTTCGCCTGTGCTCTCCTTGCGGCATTATTCTCGTCTTTGACGAGACGGGACGAGCGTCGGTCCCGTTCAAGTCGAGGAGGCGACACTCTCCTCTCGGGTCATCATTGGCACAACATTGGCCAATGCCGCGCGTTTTCGCGCGTATTTGAGAAATGATATCGCAATGACACCGTCCAGGTGGCAAACAGGTTCTAACAAAGCAGCGAAATCTGCGCGTGAACGGAACGTGTTGTCACGATTATCGGGTTTGTCGTGAGCGATCGACGGGTTACGTTTGAAACGCGTCAACGCTCGAACGAGCAGGTGGAAAAGCCGACGAAGGAGAAGCATCGATAACGAGACTCGTTTCGCGGTCGGCCGACGATGGTATCGCCGAGATGGCCAACTCTGATAACAGTCCGAGGCTTATCAGTCGCGCCCGCGGCAATAATTGAAACATTATCTGGTCGTATTTCTCCCGCTAATAAGTTTTATTAGCTTCGAAGACTTATCGGCTCTTTCGAAAGGTTAGTTGTTCGCATTTGAACGCGACAGAAACGGCGGCCGATCAAAAAGCGATTTGGCCGATTAGTAGTCGATCCGACTACTAATCGGTGTTGCTCGCAATGTGCTCCACGTTGATAGAAAAACACGTAGCTGCACCGGCGAACGGGTATTCCTTATCTGGCGTGTGTGTTTGCTGCACGTGCCGCGTTACTACATACTGGTATCGTTAATTTACCACTTTGTTATAAACACGACACGGAAAGTCAATATTACCGCGCGCGTTCAGATTATTCCTCTGTTCTTTTTCTTTTTTTTTGTTTCGCTCGCGAACGAAACGTTATAACATCGCTCACTTGTACATCGGTGAATGCGGTCTCGTTCTTTTGACATTCGAGATCACGTAAGTATAGCTACGTGTAGTAGTCTGGGTAGCGAAATTAGACGGAAACTCGTCGGTTTACTCGGGGTATATCTTGGACGATATTCATTGACCACTTGCACTGATAATATAACAGCAATAGCGTAATTCAGAGCAGAACCGCTTCTTGTGTCATTAGGAAATCTGCCTGTGGTGCTGTCATATGAGAAATTGTTTATATATATATATATACATATATTTATTTATCACGAAACTACCTTCTACTCTTCAGTTAAAGAGAGCATCACTTGTCAGATCAACGTCTCGAGTTTCACGTAAGTACACGCCGGGACAGCTTGAACACGGGACTTTCTTTCAATCGGTTATCAAAGGACGGAGGACAAAGCAGAAACGAGAAACGAGAAAATCTATATATCTTTTAAGCCACGCGACCGTGCGATTGCATTCACAAAGTTCCAAGAGAATAAGCTTCGTCCGTCTCTACTGTTTTGTGCATCAAATCAACGTTCATACTCAACTAGTCCCGCTAATGTAAAATTAACGGCAACATTACAACAATATATGTTATTTATGTCCACTGCAAGCAAATGAAAATTGCAGTGCAAAGGAAGGATTGCTTCCCAACTAATTACACGAACACTTTACTCCGTTTATCAAGAGGGAAATCCCTCTCGAGGATCGCGGCGCCAAAATCAGAATCAACAAGGAGAGATTTGTTCTCCGTACACTTGGAACTTTTGAATTTGAGATTAATCGTATGTGAATACGTTATCCTTCGCGACCAAAGAAAGAGAGCGAGACAGAAAGGACTCCCTCAAGGTTCACGGCGTAGAAGGTGAAATTACTTTTGACTCAAGAGGGACACAAGTTGGAGTAACAAAGTGAAGGAAGAAACTCCAGAGAAAGGGAGGGAGGGAGGGAGAGAGAAAGAAAGAATCAGAGAGAGAGAGAGAGAGAGAGAGAGAGAGAGAGAGCGCGTACTCACCTCCGTCTTTGATGGAGGGACCCATGGCGGTGTGTCGTTGCGCCGTTACGAGGCCAGGTAGCGCGAGTAGCAGAAAAATGACCGAGAAGAGCCTTCTCCACGACTTCGACCTGCCGACGAGCCTCGCCACGGAACTCCACCGCACGACGCTCGAAGCACACCTTACGGAAGATTCGCAGAGCGGAACTCGGTCGCACTTGGTAGTTCTATCGCGCTCTTCATCGGTCGCTTCCGACGAGTGATTCGTCGACGAGTCGTCCCTCTCGTCGCGTTTCCACCTCGGCCGGCCATACCGGCGGCCGAGCGCGAGGCCGGCCTCTGTCCGTATCGCGCCCAACAGATCGCGGTCGGTTCGATGACGAAGACGCTCGCACACCGACGTCGTCGACGGCGACGCGAGTGCATCCTCGAACGCACCACGGCTCCATGGACAGTGGCAGTGGCAGGTGTTGGAGCGAATCTTCGGAGAAGGCGAAGGAGACACAGCACGCGGCGACTCATCTTCGTCGAACGTCGCTGTGCCGCGAAGTCTGCGCGTGCAGCACGCGGCCGACTTCATTTTCACCATTCCTCCTGAAGGAGAACGGAACTCGTCTCTCGTTCTCTCTCTCTCTCTCTCTTTCTCTCTCTCTCTCTCTCTCTCTCTCTCTCTCTCTCTCTCTCTCTCTCTCTCTCTCTCTCTCTCTCTCTCTAACTTCCTTTTTTCCTTTCTCTCTATCTCTGAGCGCAACGAGGCGAGACCGTGAGACACGAATTGGCCGCGTCGCACGAATTCAAAGCGAGGGTAAGGCGGCGGTGCGTCTCGCTCGCATCTCTCTTCGCCGTCGAAACGGCAACTGGACCTTCACCTCCAGTCTCTCTTTGGTTCCCTATTCGTCTGTCGCGCGCGCGAGTGGAGGGCTCGAGCGTCAATGCGACGATAGAGCCGACGACCGCGCGAAGACGTCGCGCATCTGTTCCCGGCGCTTGTCCGAGGCGTTTATTTGTCGGCTTCGTTTGACCCTCTCGCAACCGCGCGCGCGGTCCACGGGAGACGTCGTGGGCGTGCCGCGCGAGAGGAGACAACGAAGAGAGAGAGAGAGAGAGAGAGAGAGAGAGAGAGAGTGAGAGAGAGAGAGAGAGAGTGAGAAAGAAAGAAAGAGAAAGAGAGAGTCGCAGCACACACGCACGGGAGACGGCAGCTCGCTCGCTCGCCCGCGTGCGCGCACTCGCGCGCGGGAACGCGAGAGGATATCAGCCGATCGTGCTCGAGGATCGGCACCGCCAGGTCACCGCTCCAGACGACGATCCCATTGAGCGGGCGAGACGCGCCAATTCGGCGTGCGTGCCAATTCGAAACTCGCTCCGCGACGCGACGAGCTGCTGACCGGGGGAATCTTGGCAGCAATCAGTGGGCGTTCGCTGTAACGCCGATGTCGCCTGCTCGCTGAGGCTCGGCCAGCGCTCTGACGTCCTGAAACGAGAAAGAGCACAAGGTTACGCGCGCCGTTTTTTTACCCATCGATGTGCTGCGTGCGCGCGAGTGTAACGGTGAAATTAGATTAACCTTCTCGGCGACGATCGCGCCCGCCGCTGCGGCTTCGTCGTCGTTTAAGCGACTAACGATTCGCGCGCACAGGTATGCCCCCTCCCCCCCGCCCCCCGAAGAACGCCAATGCGATTGCTCGATGCGGGCGAGCGCGCGCGGTCCACGGGGTAACGCGTTTGCAACGCCGTCATGCGGCGAAGAAATATACATAAACACGCACACGATGGAAACCTTGGGAATGGCGGCATCGTGGAAATGATGACGATGCTTTCACAACGCCGACGCTCGCATGATCATCAATAAGCTTGGCTACGGTGTTTATGACCGTTGTTTACAGTGTCCGACGTACACACCGGCGCCAAGCGCGTGTCGCGATCATTACGATCGTTATGAGGAAAAAATACTCGCGGAGATAAATTAACGTGACCGTGTGCGTTCATTCAACAAACGGACGATACGCACGCATGCGATATCAAAAATAACGCGGGACATGTGTGTGTACACCGCACATGTGTATGCGTGTGTGCGTGCGTGTAACTGTAAATTGCGTGCACGGGATCGCGTTGCGAGACGACGTTGTCAGTCGCAGACGCGGTGGAAAAATAATGTTGCTATCAATATGCCACTCTGAGGATACTCGCCGGCGCTCTCCGTTGCGCGCGCGCGCGCGCGACGGCGCGGCGCGCGTTGCGTCGACTTAAATTAAATATTCATTAATTTATGCGAACGCACGATAACATTGCTGCGCGATAACGCTGTTGCGGCTGGTCATAGGCGATAGGTGCGATCGCAATGCGGGGGCAATGTTTTTTTAATGTCGCCTCTACGTTACTATGCATGAATATTGCGAGTCGTTAGCTATTTACATACATTTTGTTGCCGCACTGAGGCGGAAAGTATATGATATTTGGAACTATAATGATAACTAAATTATAGCCCGAAATATCATATTTATAGTAAGTATTACTATAAATATACCATGTCGGTAATAATTACGATATAGGCATAGTATAACCAACCATAATAAAATTTTTACTGAAAACTATTAGTAAGTTAAACTAAGATTATTGTACGGATGCAAATATAAAATGGTAGGTAAAAGTAACTCTTTTATATAGTCAATATTACCAGAATATTTGCTAAATGATGACAGACGTAACTATGTGAATATTAAATCTCACTCACATATTTGTGAATGAAAAATTACTATATATATGTGGTAAAAGTAACTAAACAATTATTTAAGACAAACATTGACTATATATTTGTGTTTATTTTACTATATCTTGCAGGTTTCCACGAACTATAAAAATATGGTTGACGCCAAAATTAACTGTAAAATATAGTGAGATTATAGTTAATTCAACTATATTTTTCTATCAGTGCGCGGAGGGTCCCGTCCGCGCGGCGATTGCATTTGAAGGTAGACCGCGCGGAAGACTGTCCTCGTTTAATTCCTGAATCACATTGCGCCATTTTCCACGCGGAATTCACAGCTATGCCCCGCGGTCGTCGTGGTTCGATCGCCGAGATCGCCCGGCGGAACAATCGCCGATAACGAGCGTTGATGTTTCTGCGCTCGCGAGATTGCCAATCTGGTCTGTTTTCCTTGCGTGTTGCCGCTCTCACGAGCCCGCCGCCGTCGTCGTTCTCCGCGGCGAAATTGCGAATATGTGCCCGATAGGATCGTCTCGTGCTCTCGTCTCTCCGCACAACTGCACTTATCTCGACTGTGTCGATTATTTACAGCGATTTACGAATCTTACACGCTTGGTGTATGGTGTATGGTGTACGAGTGACGTGGGAACGTCACATGTGGCCTCATTTTTATGCACATTTTTATACCAACATGCGACATGTCCGTGCATTTTTATGAGTCTTATGAGTTCGGGATATGCGGGTCATGATGCGTTTCGTACGATCGGAAAATATTTATGACGGTGCGATTACACAGCGCGTTGTGATTTGAAATTATCGGGCGAGTCGGAATATTTATAGTAAATCTCGTCGATGCTTTGAGTGCAGCACAAGCTGGCGTATAAAACTATGAACATTGAACACAAAGCGGAGAGGAAATTTCCACCCCTTCCTCCCCCCCCTCTCTCTCTCTCGATGGATGCCCAGGTACACTTTGCAACCACTGTTGCATGCACGTGATGCGATGTGCTTCTCTGTTGCCACAACTCTTCGTGCGGAAAAGTAAACCAACTAAGAGCCGTACCCAGTTACCAATCCAGTTGCGTGCGAGTGTGTATGTGTGTGTGTCCAGGAGCAATATTCGTTCGTTTACGATGCCAACTTCCAACAAACCAAACGCCGCTTTTCATTATGCGAAATGCTACGTGTATGCAGGCAAAAGAAGCGGAATTGCGAGAGAGATACGAGAGACAGGAAAAAGAGAAGGGGAGTGATACGTGCGAGAGCGATGCAAACACTTGGTCGGCGACACTGTATATTTCTTCCAAATACAGCGGGACTTATCGTGCCGCGTGTAACGACACGACAACCGTGTACGATAGTACCTCTGAAGTTTAACCTTATAGGTGATAGGTATACAAGGTCATCAGCAGATATAAAAAATCGACGATGCACTGACCGAAGTCAACATGTTTCTCAGGATTGCCGATAACGCATCGATCGAGGAACGGTTTGGGAATAAAGCGATGTAGCAGGTATCGAGTAGAGAGAGAGCAGACGATACTGCTTAAGGGGACTGGGGAGGGTCAGATTGCTGAAAAATCATGCTTGTTTTTGACAATATTTTGCGATGAACTGAATAAATGTGCAAGAATGAAAGTTTTAGGTATATTTATACAACATGTGAAGAGTAAAAAGATTTTGTTTATTAACAAATACTCATATAAATATACGATATATATAGCTGAAATATACTCTCCTTTTTTTTTCAACTTGTCATTTTTGCAGTAATATCTCGGCTCTCGGTGGTCCGCGATCAGAGCGAATTTTAGCTAGAAATCTTAAGGAGGCTTATCATTATCCGGCGAAGCACTATAAAAAAAATCGAACGAAATTAACAAAATGGCAGCTATTATTAGGAAAAATTCAAATTTTTCAGGTCTTTTACAATAAAAAGTTCTTTTACAAATAAAAGTTCTTTTACAAAAAAATTAATATCTCGAAATAAAATATTTTGACGGAGTTGTCCATGGCTCACCTGAGGAGCCAGATGAACAACAAATATTATTGCTTTAAAATTTCCAATCGATACGAAGCTCAGTTTCGGAGAAATCACTGCAAACAGCTGAACAATAAAATTTCGAGAGAAACGCGTTTAAAATTTAAGTGGACGTATATTTATATGAATATTTGTTAATAAACAAAATTTTTCTACTTTTCATATGTTACATAAATATATCAAAAATTTTCATTCTTGCACATTTATTCAGTTCATCACAAAATATTATCAAAAAACAAGCACGATTTTTCAGTAATTTGATTGACCCTCCACCAGTCCTCTTAATAAACATGGTCCTGCATGGTATCTGCATCGAAATCTCCCAAGGCACTGGAGGGCCTCGGAACCGTTCGGAAAGATTAGCCGAAATTCACACAATCGCAAAACAGAATGCCGATGCGCTGCAATTATCGGAAAATTAGCATATGCTGAAGCAATTGGCGCCGATATGACGGCGATAATAAATCAGACCTGTTGCAATGTATCTCTCTCATCGTTTCCCGTTTAAGGTGAAATCGCTGTTCACTCAGTTGCACCGCTTTCAACTTCTTCATCGGATCACCCGACGTCGGTATCTCGCGCATCAAGATGTCCACAACAACTCGCCGGGCCCTTTTGCGATTCTCCGCGAAGACGGCGCGTGAAAAAACAGATACGCGACGAGGAATCGCACCATTGTGTGCGTATAGACAATGCCGGAGACACGACACGCTGGTCGCGCGATCCCACGTGCTGCGAAGCGGCCGCGAAAAGGGACAAAAGAGAAGGGAAAAATTCGGAGCGTCGCGTCTGGTCTCGCGCGTGCAGTATCGTCTTGCTGCGCCGTGACTCCCGGGGTTAAGTAACGTAATTCGATCAAGCGTAGATTTCTCTTAATAATAAACAGCAATTGCTTGATTGCGTGTAAAAGGGGTCAGACTATCGCTCGACTAACGAGACGTGTACGCGGTGGTATGCGGTGCGCGCCGATAAATTCGATTGATGGACAGCAGCCGATCACACACCCCTGGTGGTGAGGTGCACGCGCGCACCAGTCGTAAACACCTCCGGAGCGGCTCGTCCAAGTCGAGCCAGCCACTCGAACTTTCCACGCGACGAGCGCTTCTCATCCCGGCGAGCGCGAAAGACGATCGCCAGGCATTCGCAGAATGAGGAACTCCACGCGGTCCCACCAACTACGCCCCGTCTTATTCATAGTTCCAGTCGCGCGAGTGGAGGCGAGTGCACGGGAATAATATCATCTTGCAACGTACACACACACACACACACACACACACACACATGGTGTATCCGTCATCGCAACGCTGATCATTTCGGGAGCTGAGCGAAACATCAACGTTACGTTAATGGGGTGCAGCGACGGAAACTTTCAATATTCGACAAACTTGGCGCACGTGCGCAGCACTGAAACTGAACTCTATTATGGTCTCTCTAAACGCTTCCCTCTGGAGCCTGCAAGTTTCCCTCCGAAACACTCGTTTCCGGAATGAGTATTCTCGCAGGCACCGCTCCGCCACGCGCCAGACCGCGCCAGATCGCGCGCCTTCCGCAGGAGGCTCTTCTTCCAAAAGAGGCATCTGCGGATTCATCATTCCTTTCCTTTTCTCGTCTTTGCATGAAATCGAGTCGCGAAAGCGCCTGTCGACAGACAGACCGCGCACGCGGCCTGCGCGGCGATACGAAATCATTTTTTCATGCCCTGCGATTGGTGTTAAAGCGCATTGGTGTT